TATATATATGTATATATATATATATATATGTATATATATAAAAACAAGGTTCTTAGATATACAACCAAATGAGAGAAATACTAGTGAGACAACCAGTCGCGTTGTTGGTGCAAATATTTAAACTATAGGAAGATAACAATGTGTCTAACGATTTGATTGACTTTTACCCCAATTGACACCGTCCGCGAGAGCCAGTATGGCGGAGTTCGGTCGCGCTACAATGCCAAAGCAGTCGGCTATCGGTTCCCCGTTGTTGGTGTCGTTAGTAGGATTCTTCTCGTAAAGAGTCGTTGCAATTCCGTAGGCGCTTTCGTGGGGATTAAACCAATCGGCGACTCCGGCGACCGTAACGTTGGACGTCGTTGATCCTGAAAGAGAATTGCATTGTCAATTTTGAGCGAAACAATCTCATTAATAAATGTCGTTATTCTCGACTCACCGCTTCTATACTGCTCATTCTGATCTAGCATGTCAATGTAATCAATATCGGTATCACTAATACTTAAGTGCTTTTGCTGAAGATTAACTGCCGTAAGGCCACTATCGGGACCAGTGTAGGCTGTAAATATCTCTTCGTTCTCTTGAAAGTTGTCGAGTTGTTTGATAGGCAGTTCTTCCGGATTTCTGCCATGCAGAATCGGTGGTCCTTCTTGTTTCGTTTCTAGCCTAAAAAATGTCGATTTATGTAAACACGTGTCGGATATAATGATGTATGTTGTTACACACCCTTTACATAGAATCTGTAGTGTGGAATATAGCTAAAAACAGGGAATAATGTTTAAATGTTACATGAAGAAATTGTGACTATTCCAGAGAAGAAGATGGAAATATAAAACAGAGTGGTAAAATATAAAACAAAGCTGATTTCTCAAACAATTGCTGTGATCTATCAGTAACTGAAATAAACAACCATTAAGATCTTTATCGACCACCAAAGGAGTCTGGAGTCAGTGCTATATTGTTCATAGTATTACGAGAAGCTGTTTTTTTCTGTCTTGGTCAATAAATCTAACATATTAGTTATATAGTATATCAATTAGTATATTAATTAGTAAATTAAAATTTTAAATTATAGAGTTAGTTATGTGAAAGTGTTTTTCCTATTTTGACATTTCTTTGAAAAATAGAAATCCCACCTATATTCCCACCTTTTCCCCTGTAGAAAGCACTATACTATACTAAAACATTATTTAAAACATCATTCTATTTATCATATGAAAGATTTTATTGTATATAACAAGGATTTTTTGCAAAACAAATATAATATCAAGCATATACATTGAAGTAAGTTAGCTGTGTCTAATTATGTTAATTTTACCATTAACTCTGATATTTACCCACTCAAATAGCGTGTAATGAAACAGCCACCAGAGAAGTCCTGAGTCAATGATTGAGGGCTTTTAAGTGGCTGCTCTCCATGACCAATACTCTCCACAGCTCCGGCCAAGTTACTGATAGATAATTGGCGCATGAAGCCGGCAACTTTCTTCCGTAAACTTGGCATCTTTCAAAAGAGCCCAAAGGTACAGCAATTAAGAATGTTAATTATTGTCTAACATTACTTCACCCAACTAAAGGGTCATACCATGGTTATAACTGCCGTTAACAGGTCTCACTTTAAACCTGAAAAAGTTTACAATAACATATTCTAAGACCTTACATCAGATAAAAGTTGTATTATTAGATATATCCAATACTATAGCAGACTGCAATAAATAATTTCAATTTAAGCATAGAAACTAAATAAAATATATAAAATAAACTAATAAATTAAAAAAAATATTAAACTAAATAAATAAAATAATAAACTAAGTACTAATTAAATAAATAAAGTAAATACAAAAGAAATGTTCTTAATTATTTTCCTATACATTTCTAAAAGGTTTTTATAGAACAAAACTTTTGTTTCTACATCAGTTCTGCTTTTTCATTTATCACAATCTACTTTAGCACATTTAAAAAAACAGATATATTATGTCTAAAAGATAGAGATAATGACAGTGATAAAATATTCCTTCGTTCTTAAAAGGACTATCACAGTTTTCTTAACACTTAATGTGACTTATCACATTTTTCCAAAATGACGCAAAATCAGAATAAGAATAAACACATCATATAACGGCTGTAAGATAGAAAAAAATCGAGAAAAGAATCACAAAGAAGACAAGATCTGTTAGGAATCGAGTACAGTTGCAAGTGCATGAATATTTATGGTAACTGTATACACTCGACATCTAGAGATGCATTTCTTACTTCTCGTTTTACACCTTATCTCTCCCGAGTCCAAGTGCAGCGAGACGCTTTGACACTAATATACATTATCTTCCTAAACGACACCATAAGACTTCGAATATTTATGCAACTTGCAAATGCGTCTAGACTCCTCGACGGCCTCGATTTTTTCTTCTTAACTTCACGTCTGCTTCACAGCCGTCGCGTCCGTTTAATGAAAACTCGCGGATCTCTCTTTGCCTTGCCACCGCGAAAAAGTGACACACGTCGTGTCCACGACGACCAAGTCACGTCGACGGCGGAAAAGTTACCTGGAAAAATTCTCACCGTACAGGGAGTGAGATCACGACGCACACTGGCCGCACAAGCCCATCTTATTCCACTTCACCGCCATATTGGCGGTGTGTCAATAACCAATCTGACTACTTGTGGGAGGCACGGGGAAGCGAAGGAGACGTGAAAAAGCAACCACGACGACGGCGATTACGGCAGTGATCACGGCAGCGAATGGTCGCCGGCCGTCTCTCGCTCTCGCATCGCGCTGTACATGGAAATCAGAGCATTGTTCGCGCGGTCGCAATTAATATGGGCAATAAAGTAGATTCAGCGGATGTCACGTTCCACCACGTCCCTATGGAGGAGATAATATATGCGCGTAAGTGCGTGCACACGCACGCTTACGTCGAATGAAACGAGGCCGAGGGATATCTCGGAAATTGCTCTGATCTCGTGCGAGATCAGCTGTCGGCACGAGGAGTGTGTGTGTGTGTGTGAGAGAAAGAGAGAGAGAGGGGGAGAGAGAGTACGTGTGGTCTGGCAATTGCGTTACCGTCGCTTGCGCCGCCACTACGTGTGTGCGACGTGATAATGATGACGACGACTACGACTACGACGACGACGAGGGCGACGCGGTGACACGGCTGCGCTCTTTTTTTGGTCTGTTTTGACATTTGGCGAGTCAATATGGCGTCGCTGTGACACATGAGAGTCCGCAACTTTCGTGGTTACCTCGACAAACCTTCGCCCGCTCTCGCGGAGCTGTTCCGCGTGACCCAGTACGCGCGGATAATCGGGTGATCTCGTCGAGATTGACCGCCTCTTGGACATCTTCGACGACGGCACGCGGGAAGCGTCGCGAACTCGCGAGAGCGATAGAGAGAAAGAGAGAGAAAGAAAGAGAGGACGAGAGAGACCTGCGGTTTACTCACGATTTCAATGCGTGTTTCGCGACGGTAGGTAGTGCTTGGATCTCGCAGCGAGAACGCCCGTCCGCGCGTTGTGCCCTATGCGATTTTACATGCGAAATTATTATTACGTAATCTACATGCGAAAAATCCTAATAGAATAAGATGCCAGGTGAGAAGAGCGCTCTCGCTCTTCTCCGTTGACGTTCCGTTTTCGCGATAGATGAGAAAGCGCGTACGGTTCTTTCTTCGGTAGTACAGTTAGCTCTTTCGTGCGATTCACGTGACACTATTTTGACGTGTGCAGCTTCGCAGACGGGGATTCTCGTTCTCTTTTTCTCGTTCGTGCGCTACAGCGTGTCACGGTTCCCGTACGATTCAGCGTACGGGCGGATACAATTCCGTATTCGGACGTATCGTGGGAGTGAGAGAGAGAAAGAGAAAGAAAGAGGGAAATTAAGGTTAAGAGGGAATAAAAGGTGTTCACGGATTTTCTCCGTTTGTGCTGTATCCAAGGTATGGGATCGTGAGTGCGAGGAGGCACGGTGCTCCATAGGAAGTCAATAAAAGAGAGAAAGCACAGAGAGAGAGAGAAAAAGAGAGGCACACAGAGACAGCACGAATGACAGCAGAAATATAAGATGTTTGAGTCTCCGAGAAGTCTCCAAGAGGTGTGCATCGACTTCATCTGCGGTAACGTTCTAGGCTTATGCGAGGTACATCTAGGCGACGCGAATGTGCACTCCCCAGGCGCCACGGTTTCCGGTGAGTGAGTTCCCGCGAACGTAAGGCGAGAAGCGTCCACCAGCTCTTGCGCGCACTCCCGCCCGCTCTGCGGAATTAAAAACTGTATAAGTTTTAGATCGACCCGATAACTGTACAGTGAACAATAATAGCACAGAAGAATTCGCTTTTGATACTACAACAGGTAGAACATCGTCTAACGATGCTCCCACCAGCTCCGCGACTCGGCTTACCTTTAGGCATCCGGACGCCTTCTTGCCGGCCGAGGTGTCCGAGCAATTATTATCCAACCTATGTGAGAAGAAAACATTATCCGACCTGACTATCACGCTCTTTGACTCCAAGACCACTAGGCTAAGGTGATGATATGAGATTCTTAGGTTTGTTCCTTTTAGATGAACTAAGGCCCAATAACTGAACTAATAAGAAAGAGATCAGTTTTACATTTTTACAATGAGGAATTAATGATTAGAACAACTTTTATATAAGATTTTGGCTTGTCAGAAAACAATAGGAAATAAAATTCAATTTATAAATATTGTAACTTTTATGAGATATATCAGATAATGCTGAACCAGTAATTGAACTGAAAAAGGAATCACGTCCCAATTACCAAATAATATAGACTCAATGATTGAATGCTCATTAAATAATATTACAAATTGGTATAAAGAAATGTCTCTTCTTTTCTCTTCTTTTGAAAACAAAATTTCAAAGACTTCTTTTGGAAATATATATTAAATACAAGTATATTATTAATGTTTCAATCACTGGAACATCATTCAATTACTGGGCCATTTACTTTAGGTTGCACTTTTTGTCTTTAAAGTGAAAAAAATATATAATTTAGCATTGAAGGGAAAAGAAAGAAATTTCCAGCGCAGCACTAGTTCAGCTAAAGAGAACAGACTTCTTGTGTGTTGCTCTCTCTGTGTTACACTCGGCAGAGGAATATAATTCACGTGTACTCTGCAATTGGTTAATCTCTCCTTCTTTCTAGGCACGTACGGCTGAAAGATGCGTCGACATTATCAGCTAAGGGCTTGAGGGTTCTCAAGCAGCATAAAGTTGTAGATTTAATAGTAAATGGACTTAAAATCACTGTTAACGATTTAATTAGCTGTTTAGGCGATTGGAGTTTACAAAATCTTAGGTCGCTAAGCGTAGCTAAAGGAAGCTTTATGGATTGTTCAAGGTTATTATCGAGCTACACTCTCTTTCTTGTCTGCCTGGTCTCTTTAAGTTGATCTAGAGAGACCCCCGTGACGATTGATATTTATATTCTTTGCACACGTTTCGTTTTATAGGCATTGTGTGGTAGTAACGTTAAGCAAATTGAGGGCACTTCATACCTTGAATGTCTCAGGAACAGAATTTAATAAACATGGCTTGGACATAGTAGTCGAAGATCTTCCCCTTTTAGAGAGCTTAGATATATCTTGTACGAGAGTCGACGATATAACACCACTAAGGAAATGTAAAGATCGTTTAAAGACATTAAATATGTATAATTTAAAGATAAGCGGTTGCGGTAACCTGATACCAGTGTTACTGGAGCTGAATGAATTAAGGCATTTAGACATTTCCGACGAGAAAGACGCACATGCTTTCGAAGTGTTCGCACCTGCTAGGCCAAAAATAACTGACTTTTTAAGGGCTCTGCATTGCATGCCACATTTGACAACTTTAGACTTATCAGGTGAGTAGTACAGTGTTTGCACAGAGCTACCTGACAATATATATAATATTCTGTAAAGATTATTCTGTAATTCTTTACGACGTAATTCGTAAAATTGCCAGTTAATTAGTAGCATAATATAACTTAAAATATATTATTAAATATATATAAAATGTATGAGATACTGATATATATTTACTGTTTAGGTAAAGATGACATAAATCCAAAAGATTTAAAAAATTTCATTGCGTCACACATGCACCTGAGGTTCCTAGGACTAGTGCATTCTGACGCTTGCTACGACGAGAGTTTCATAGATGCAACACACGAGAATCACAGACCTGAACTTGTTGTAAGTTGTCGTAATATTAACAAGTTAATTGTGCAACCGTACATTATCTCTAGTTATGTTCTAGTATATAAAAAGATTGGAATTGACTTTGTTGTATCGTACTTCTTAATCTTTTCTGGATATGTGCAGTGGCATTATTGTTGAAAGCAGTGTACATTGTTACTGTTATTGTTATCTCTTTTTCAATCTTTCACAACGATACTGTTATTATTATATGATTGTATATTGCACCACGTTTTATATTGAAAAGTATACACTTTGTTGTACTGTACATGTCATGAAAGGATTATTATAACATGTTTGATGTCATTAACTCTGTTGGTACGTTTATTTTCTCAAACGTATTTTCCACAATCAATTTCCATTTGCAAATGTAGAAATTACTATTGATGGTAAAGTCAAACTGTGTAATAGGTAATTCAATCAATTGAAAACGATATTAAACGTTCGCTCGATCAGAAAAATTCAAACAGGGTAATATACATTGTGTCTATCTTTTGCTTCAGATCAGTGGTACAGCGACAGAATCTCAAATTTTGGAAGCCCTTAGAAGGTACATATACAGACCTATATACCTTCAGAAATGTCTATTTAACTTGTTCCGTTTAACACCAAACTTTCTCGAGCCACGAGTCGATGTGATAAAATTAGTGTTACCTGGCATGAGAGAGCATCCGCAGGAGTTTCGTGTACAAATGGCAGCTACCGCATGTATTTATAATCTAACAAAGGGTGAATTGGCCCTCATGATTCATCCATCGATACTTAAACAGATAGTCGAATTGACATTGTTGGCAATGGAGTCGTATCCGAATAATCATCAACTTCAAAAGAACACTCTATTGACTCTGTGTAGCGATCGAATCCTGCAGGATGTTGCATTTGACAAGTATAGGTAGCTATGCATCAATTTATAATCTAATCATAAATTTTCCCATGAACTGAGATTTCGATATCTTTCAATCCCGCGAAATGCTTCTCGATATTTTGTGTATTACTTGTTGCAATACGCAAAACTCTCGACAACAACATTACAAGTGGTCACGGAAGCGCAATCTTTTTGTGAATGGAAGTTGATCATGCAGTGCAAGAGAATGTTGTACACACAATTAATTAGTTCTTTGGATTTAGTGATACAAATGTCGTATTGATATGTCTCTACATTTTCGTTGTATGTAAAAACGTTCAGATTTTATACATCTAATTTTACTAAGACAGTGTTAAATGTTTTAGTGAAGGAGCATATCGTTTTATTGTAATATTCGCTTCTACCCGACGGCGTCTTGATTTTACTTAGGCTCATGATTATTTACAGAAATTCTTATTCGCGTTTATGTATGGTATAATTGAAATTAAATTATTATTTCATAATAATGATAATAATATTGCTCTTGATATGTAACGAATAGAATGTATTAAAGAACATTTACATAGATCTTTTCGCACGTGCAATATAAGCGAAGTATCGTAAGTTGACAAAATTATATCTACGTTGGACAGGTATTGAAATTTCAATGCAATGAGTGTAGAATAAATATTCGGACGGCGTGCACACAAAGCTGAAAGGCTGCTTTTGATTTGGCAGGTGTGCGAGATTAGTTATGAATTGCTTGTCGACGTTTGATGACGCGTCTATGAATCGAATGTCTGTGGCGATCTGCTCGATATTGGCCGCGAAGATCTCGACGGTGGAGACGTCCATGCTCGGCGCACAGCCGCAGTATATGCTGAAGCTGCTCGCAATGGTCAGATCGAAAGTCGAGTCCCGAATAGTGGATATCACGATGAAATTTACATTGAGCGCTCTGTGGAACTTGACGGACGAGAGCGCCGTTACGTGCAAAGTCTTTCTCGATGAGGGCGGAATGGAATTGTTTCTCGAAGTGTTGGACAGCTTTCAAGGAGAGTCCAGCGTGGAGACTAAGGTTCTCGGTTTGCTGAACAATATCGCGGAGGTTCGTATATGAAGTATCTTTAATACTAGTCTGATGCAAATGATTTATGTCAAATAAAATAGAGCACATTCAATAGTAACTCGTGAATCTTGTGCTAAAACACACAATAAGAGAAATGAATAATAATGATACGCTACGACGATGCCGCGATTTAATGTAATGTTCTCTCGCGTTGAACATTTCAGGTCGACCACCTGAGGCCACGGCTTATGCAGCCGCGATTCATTAAAATGCTTTCGATGCTGCTTGATTCCGAGCATATCGATGTGTCTTATTTCGCGGCCGGCATCGCCGCGCATTTGCTCAGTGACGGTGCTCAGTCTTGGTACAGTATGCCGTCGCAACCGAGCAGGGAGCAATTGTTAGACCAACTGGTTCACGCTGTAACTCACTGGCAAACCCCGCAAGGCGAGATGGTTGCCTATCGTAGTTTTCAACCATTCTTCCCGCTGCTACGCTGTACAGACGCATATCCAGTTCAGCTCTGGGCGGTGTGGGCAATTCATCATGTTTGCACAAAGAATCGTAAGTCTCCTAAAAACATCGTTTTAGATTGAAAAAAAATGTAACAACTTAACGATGTGATATGCAAGTAAAATAAAGAATCTCTATATACTTTATACTAATAGAATCATGTTTTTTATTATAAAATAACAATTGAATTTTTTCTGTTATGACAAATATAATTTATTTTGGAGAAAAAGAACTGTTGATATAAGCAATAATAATTACGTTTTTTTTTCAGCTAAACGTTATTGCGTGATGTTGATCAGAGAAGGCGGAGTAGAAACGTTAAAGCAACTGGAGAAAACTCATACGGAGTACACGACACAACCGAACTTGCAAAGTCTATGTCAATCGATTCTGGAAACGCTCGAATTAAATTCTTAACGATAGCTGTTGCTTTTCAATTTAAAAGTTAAATACCGCATGGTATTCTAGTCAATGTTTATCTTAATGCAATCCTCTATATCCTGTTCTTTAGACCAAATGAATTTAAACAAAAGAATTATATGGCCATGGATATTTATATCACGGAGACAGACTGCAATCAAACACGACAAACAAATAAGTCCAAAATATTTTAATTGCAATCGAGAGTTAGTAAAACTGTGGCTGAACTCGCTAGATCTGAGAATTGAAGATCTGAATTGAGGAATAAATATAAATAAATAAATAAATAAATAAATATATATATATATATATATATATATATATATATATATATATAGTATTGTTATATATAAGATTAGTTTCGGAGAGACGTTTAAATTACTTATCAATAGGTATAACGGAATAAGCTAATAGGTATAATGAATTTATTACTTTAAAATAAAGTACATAACTTTTAACGATACGATATAGAGATATTAAATTAAGGAGCGGAAGAGCATAAGAGTGAATTTACTTAAAGAGAAAAGGGAAAGTATGCGTGTTAATTTATCTTCGTGGACAGTTGTGTTATTATTAATGCTTGCACTAATGTTTATAATACATTTTAAAGTCTTGCGCGGACATAATGTCGTGTTTATAATGTTCCAAGGTGTTTCTATGATTTATTTAGTAAGAACGCTTCGATATGGCTTGTGTATTTCAGATTCTAGTCTAATTTCTATTTTAAATTGTACGATTGATTTGAATAATTGCGGATGAATTGACGGTATATGAATTGTATAATAGATATAAGGAAAAAAATAATCGAACTAAGTTATCTTTTTTATGCGGTGCTTACTGTTAACGGAAACTTTGCTAACGAATAATTAAATAATTAATTTAGCATGACGAAGCGACTAAGAGAGAGAGAAAAACAAAGAGATACATTAATGATATATTGAATGTAGAGCTGCTGCTTCTGCTGCTAAGGGATAACGACAGTTTACAGACAATTTCTAATGGATTTTCTTTTAAAAGAAAGAAGTAAAGTTTGATCTAACATTAAAGTTTAAAATATTGCAAGGAATATGTCGTATCAGATTTTCGATGAAAGGAAATTGTCGCAGGATTAGACAAGGAGCCTGTGAATTCAAAGAAAGCGTAGTCAAACACCCTCCTAAGTTCAACTCATTGACTGCTATGTGTCTTCTAAAGGTGATTCGATGCCGTGCCTCGAATTGATTTACACTAAAACATAACTAATTGCATGTAACTACAACAAGCAGTTAATGAAATTAGCTGACAAATATATGTTTTGCGAGTAATATATACAAGCTTCTCTATATACTCGTTTGGAGACGTTTTTTTGTTGTTAAGTTGTAACAATGTATCGATTGGCCACGATTGCGTGTCACTATTAATGAACTTGTATAATTGATAAATTTTGATATTAGTTCGCTTAAGTTGCAGAACAAGATCCATGTAAATCGGCATAGCAGTCAACGTGCTGACGCATAGCATGAAACTCTAGACTGAAGTCTTCAATAATACATATAAATATGTACATACTTTTCAAATGTGTACATACTTTTACAAGTTACGCTAATCCTTGCTTTGCTACGATTCCGCGAAGTAACGGTACACGTGTACGCGCGATATAAGATGTTATAAAGTAATTATTATTTTGTTGAATGTGTGTCATACTTTTTAATACTTCAAATTCAGATCTTCAATCTATTTTGTTAACAATTACACTTCACAATGTCTTCATTACTAAATATAAAAAGAAACGTTTTTAAAAATTGATTGCGCATTATATGCCTTCAGAGATTATACAAAGAAGAAAATGAAATCCGAGAGTTTGTAATAAGAGAAATACATTTTAATATTTAGATTATATCTGTTATTAAAATATGATGAATTTATATAAACGAAATTTATTCTTCTGATATCATTACATGTTGATCTAAAATGTAAAAAAAGAAAGCGTCAATTTGGACTGAATGTTAATAAACATACTATGCCAGCCTCTATGTGTTGTGCAATCTTTAAAGCGCCTCCTCATTTTTCTTAACCGCACTGTCGTGTATTAATAATGATTTAAATAATAAACTAGGAAAAATATCAAAGAAAGAATCTAAATGTTAGATTGAACAGGCAGTAATCTAAAAGTGTGTACAAGTTCTTTTTATGTGGAGGTACACAAAGTTCCTTACGTGAGCCAAGAAAATCTTTATTTACCATCCATTCATTTACATTTTTTTTTTATAATACACATCTCTTAATTACTTTTTTTCTTTTCCTTAATGAAACTTAAAAATTGTTCATGAAATTTGTATCATTAGCACTCAATTGATGCTGATGCTGCACCGCACCTGCAAAATACTTAGCGACATGGAAGTAACATTACGAAATGTGGCTCGAACGATTAATGTGTTGAAACTCGGCACTCCCCCTAACACTTTAGCACAGTCTCAGAAACGTGAGGTTTTACACGCATTTTACAAGTTATTAGTAGCAATAATGTTTCAGATAGAATTGAGGATGTATAGTTAGTTATTGAATAAATGAAAGTTGCTTATGACTGTGAAAGAATTACACAAATGCAGCGCGTGTCGTACAATATGGAGCGGTGTTAAATTAATAATTCGCTTGTCGCAACTTTCACTTATCATGCATACAAATTCACTACAAATTATAGTTATATGATATTATTCTAAACATTCACTTTGTAGTTCAATTCTTTTTTTCTCTCTTTCTTTTAATCATCGTCTTGTGACAACACTATAATGAAATCGAAGCGACACGGTGCACTTTTTATATCGAGAGTAAGCGACATAAACATATATAGCAACAGTAAAATAATGATCCATTAAATTATCGATATTGGATAATTTCTTGTTCTATTCGCCATGATATATCCGCCGTGTATCAGCCTTAATAACACGTATAGATATTACACTAGATTATCCCTACAATTATATATTATCTGTATCGTTTTATATAAAAAAGAGACTACGCTATAATACGAACATGCTTATATATATATAAACCTTGATGCCATTGTTATTAATTTTTATCTCTTTATATCAAAGCACTCTCTCTCTCTCTTTCAGCTTTTTTAGTTTCAAATGCATCGATTTTTCGGGAATTTTTATATATATCTTTAAAAGATGCTACGTAGGAACGGGTCTAAGTTTAATATGCACTTTTGAATTTCAGTCAATTCTTAGTAGATTTGTGTATCTCTCGTTTACCTAGTATTTATAAAAATTATTTATTCGTTTAACGTACCCGTGAAGAACTTACTACAATCAAGTAGTGTAGGATCAAGTACGTACCAAATCATATCGTCATCGTCGATGTGAATACAATATCTCTTGCGAATATTTTGAAATATAACCAAGTATTAGAAGCTTGTATTTTCAAAGATGATTAGATTACACACATCAACATCATTAAACACTTTTATACTCTAATATAGTTTTTAAAGGTTCCATTACACTATAGAAAATCTCTATTTTATTGCACATACTGCACTTCGACAAATACTCAAAAGAGATATTTATCCAATACAACACGGATGCATCGACACCTTTTAGAGCGTACCTGATCCCCCACGTCCGAAGTCCATTTGAGACGATCTGTGACTCGAGACGGGATCCGGAGTAGAATTCTACTTGTAAGAAAACATTTGAAGAATCGGGATTACGTTTTACAGATACGTGTACACGCGTACGTGTTTCTGCAAATCTTCAAGTGTTTTCCGCGTTACGCGTAAAATTATAAATAAAATTCTATCTCGAATGCAATCGCGAATTATAGGTCGTTTTCGAAGTGGACTCAATAGTATATAAAGATAACAATTTATGTGAGTCACGTACTCAGAATATAGTTGTTTTTTCGTGAATAAACATTTAATATTCATACAAAATTAATGACGTAGTGTATACTATTGAACTTTTTATATATGTAACTTGCACATGAATATAATGTTATTACGGCAATCGAATGCTTGATCTAACTTGATCGTGTAAATTTAACTCAACTCTAATTAAACTTGATTATCTTTATCTCGTTTCGTCTCTCTGTTTGCTACTATAATATATAAATATTTTATGCTTCTTCACACAAAATATACAATCGAAGTATATATATAAAGCATAAAAATAAGTAATTCTGAAAAAGATCCCAAGGCTGATACGAAAAGTCTAATTGGACTCGACGGAATTTGGCATACAATTTCTGAAGCTCTAGCCAGACTGATTGAACTACAATAGTGAATGATCGCTGACCTACATCTGTAGTTTTATATGATGATCATTAAATCAAATATCTTTAATTGTGCCCATCTTTCTCCAATCTTTATTTTTTCTTTTGACATGATGTTTTTCTTTCTCTTTTTTTTCCCATCGTATCTGTTTTTTTTTCTGTGGACATATGATAAGAATTTACTTAAATATCTCAGCCGTTTCTCAGTGGAATGCATGATGACATGTGCTTGTAAGTTTTTTGTGAATCGTCAAATTTTCCACAAAAAAACTTACAATCCGTAATATTACGTCTCACAAGGCCATATTTAAACTTTCAATCTATACACACACAAGCGTGTCTCGTGTCAACTGACACTGACAACGCACTTGTTCAATTAAAAACAGTAAACAATTGAATATCAAAAAGTAAAACGACGATTTTTATCTTGTAATTTCGCATGTTATCGTTCAACAGTATAGATTTCCTTTATGGCCAAGTGTCAGTACTAATGTATCTAGATATATCTCATTATATCCAATAAAGTCCATAGGTAATCGTGAACTTCTTCATGACTCTAGTTTTATTGGATATACAAATTATTTGATTACAAATTTGACCATGTAGATACATCAGATTAGTACACCAAAATGCAAGTCAAGTAATGATCACTGTCAATAAATTTGCTGCCTATGTCGCGTTAAGGAATGACCAGCAAAGTATATTCCTCGTTTTAATTTACCTTTACATCAGTAGATTATTAGTAGTTATCCGAGCCGCGTTATTCAACATACGAATTAATTTGTTAGTTACAACTTTGTCGGATTTATTACGATTCAACTACTTCTGGTCCTTCCTTGAGATATAGTAAAATGTACAAAGTTCATACTGTTCAAAGAAACGCTCTCGCTACAATATAAAATACGACTTTGTAACTTATCATCTTTCCGTACTATTTTAATAGGTTATATTTGAAAGGTTAAAAGATGCTTTCGACGATTAATGGCGAGTAAGTAGTATAACAGTCAACTAGTGATTTTGTAAAATTCTCATTATTGAGAATCTTTCTTTGAACAATAAACGAATGTTACGGTGTGCATGGTTTGAAGTAAAAACTTACCTTGACATTTGTAGAATGTTGCCGTACTTTAAAATGGTCAATATGGCATATAATATCCGCGTCTGTAAGTTCTATAAAAGAAAATTGTAAAATGGTATAATTTATTAAGAGTTAATATTGTTTAGTAGCGATAAAGCGACATCGACGTTGTGTATTACCTAGGCCGCCTTGTAGGTCTATATCCAAAATATGCACTACCGCGAATAATTCCTCTAGTCATACCTCGATAACCTCGTGCACCTCTGGGACCCCTGTATTAGATTATATAATTTTTTTAATTGGTTATAATCATTTATTTGAAATTAAAAACGATCTCGCGCGTGATTCTAAAAAGATTACCAAATATTTCAATATTTTAAATCAACAGTTTTTTTTATACAGCTCACATTACTTTAAATCATAACAGTATCTGCTAAATAAAACATTACCTGTTTGTCATAGAGAAACCAGGTTTATTTGTTCTCTTCGGCATTACTTTAATTTGACGTCCTCTGAACATAGACTCGTCCATAGCCATTGCAGTTTGTACAGAATCACGCTCAGCAAATTCAATGTAAGCAAAACCTTTAGGGTGACCATCAAATTTATTACAGAGAATTGTCACTCTGTTGACACTGCCACAGCCATGGAAGTGTTGTTCCAATTCTTCTGCTGTGGCACCATAGTCAACCTGTAGGTAAGGGAAAAAGTATTAATATGAAATATTAATACTAATAATTTATATCACACATTATACAATATTTTGTATAATATGTATACATATTTTGATGATCACAAGTTTGTTATATTGAACTTACATTGCCAACATAAATAGATCTGTTATCAACTTCCATTTTGTCCTCCAAGGACATATTTAAGGGACTTGCTGGAAAAATGAATGACAAATATCATTACAATGAATATAATTGCAATATTCGATTTTCTCGATATTTTTCTCTTTCTCTTTCTGGAACGAAAGAGATACGCAGATCTCGAGCGCACGGCGTCCCACCGCCACCTAGTATGCCCTTCTCCTTCTATTCACATTTTATTCATACTTGTATATTTTGTCTTGATAGAAAGTACAAATTTGCAAACTTACTGATACCAGGTGGGCTACCCATGTTCATCTGTTTATCCACCTCAGATTGAAGTTGCTTTAATTTTTCAGCTTCCTCTTCCATTTCTCTGACTCTTGCTTTTATAGCCTCCAACTCCTAAGTTATAGAGAACATTTAATCTTAAAATAAGTATGGTTTTCTAGATAAGAAAATGATATTAGGAAATGATAATGGCTCACAGGATCATCAACATTTGCTTCATTTATTTCACGCTTTACACCATCACACTGCATAATAGCATCTCCATCTTGGCCATTTTCAAGACCATCAAGACCATCAATGTGATCGCTAGCTAAGAGGTCTGATTCTGACATTTCTGAAAATGAAATAACAGATAGATTAAATTGACGTCTTGGTCTATGAAATACAGAGAAATAAATGGAATATGGTGAAAATTGCATCTTTGTACATAAAAATTATTTATTAAAAGAATATTTGCTAGTTGTTCATATTTGTTCACATTTGTTCATATATATAATCTATGTGTATATTTATACACACTCCTCTGTTATAAAATAAAATAGAAATTAACTAATGTATGCAACAATAAAAGCATATCTTTAATTTACTTTTAAATTAATCAAAATATATTTGCTACATATTTTATGTATCCACGTTTATCATTCAATTCCTATTACAGATATGCAACTAGCCCAGAATAATAATCAATATTGCCATCTAACATAATTCAGTCAGTTACGCTTACAATTTATCGCAATCAATCACATGATCAGGCAAAAACAGACAGCACAACACGGTAGACAAAAAAAATGTAAATATCAGCTATCTTCTCCCACGACTGCTGCCTGAATCGGGTTTAAAAGTCGATTCTAGAAGAAAATCATGGGCGCACCTCGACCGAAATAGGTATTACCAAATAATGGAAACAAAGAAAGCCGCGATGAATCTAGAAGAAGCGTAATTTAATGAGCACCGCACGAGCATTGTATCAGCGCGATATAACTGTTGGCCGTCGAACAATTGTAGGAAATCGTCAACGATTACGTTGCATCTATGAGCAGTCGATATCAGTGCCGGGCACACGGGGGAACAATAAACAATAGTGTACGTGCCTGTATAAACTTCTACACTGCTGTGATGCACAAATTTCGTTCTCGAACGACTCACACCTTTCTTTTCACCTGCTTCAGCAAAACTCTATGAATGAAATGACGCGACCACCGTACGTACGAACGACTTAAAGCCTGAGTTCGTTCTTGCACACAAAACGCGGCAATGTCCAGGAATAACGTGTGGCTCGCGCAGTGGCCTAGACGACCTTTCACTTTTCCGGAAATAATATGAAGCAGCGGAAGACGATTGGTTGTCGTCGTGACACAAGTGGCGCCAGTGGGAGCGTCCCGATTGACCACGGTACGATTGGACACAACCAACCGATGCAAAGAATTATCTAGTGAATTACTAGGTCGAACCAATCATTACAATCTGTGTCCAATCGTATCGTGGTCAATCGGGTCCCACCCAGCGCCAGTTATGAGCAAGCAGAGGATTTGCACTGTGCCTAGTGACTACTGAGTTATTTAAAGATGATACGCAGCCAATGATCTGTGTGGTTGCGGTTGAGGAATTTTCGAATCAAACGTGGAGTTGAAATATCCTAAAGTCGGTTCTACATTAGTTGCAAGTCGTAAAGTCGCAAGAAAATTGACCAATCACAGTCAATCGTTCTCCTTGATCAAAGAAAAATTGACTGTGGGTGCTTTTCAGCTACGTACAAAACCAGTTTATTGGTGGCATATTATCTTACAAGATATTTTAGATAATATGTGATCAATAAACTGGTTTTGTGTAACACAGTATAATGTAACTGGTAAACATCCTGATTCATCAATTTTCTTGCGATTTTGCAATTTGCAACTAATGCAGAATCAACTTAATGATTCTAGTGATTTTGCATCAAATATGGCTGAGTTCGGAAACTTATTGGATATTAGCTATTGTCAGATAGCTCACATTTTCAAAGAACGTCCTAAAAATATTCTGATGACATCCCTCCGTCCTAAAAGCAACTTCAGAACGTATTTTGGAAAATTTGTATTGTATGAGGTGCACTAGTGTGCAACGGGCATTAGGTGTAAAAGTATGAATAGTACAAGCAACTCGAACAAACCTTATATGTGCTTCACGAGCTGCGTTCGAAAATTTTACTCGAAAATGTATAGTTCACGTTACGTATACTGTAGATTTTCGCATATATATCTCAGGCTGCGTTCCGAAATTCACTGCCAGTACTGAAATTCTATAATATACGTAACATAAACTAGATTTTCAGTACTGACAGTGAATTTAGGAGCCTCATTCGCACGTCGTCAAGAATCGAGGGCGCCAAGTAACAAACAATAGCAACAGGGAATAGCTTGTAGTAGCTTGGATGACAATAGAAATAAGTCTGAGTCCAAGTAAAATAATAATAATAAGAAGAAGAGCGATAAAAAATAATAAAATAATCCTATCAGCGCAAAATTGTTATTTAACTAGTGAATAGTTATGGAGAAAAAACGGAAGATTGTTGTCTTTGATTTAGGTAATACCATATTTTTTTTATTATACATAATACATTTATGATCTCTGAATAAGTGAGCATATAAATTTTCAGATCAGACTTTGTGGCCATTCTGGGTTGACAGTAATGTAACTCCTCCGTTCAGGAAAAAGTTCGTATAGTATATTTCTTGCATAAATAAAGAATAATGCAATCCTTTTTTTCTTATAATTTATTAAACTTAAATAACAATTTCAGGTCTGATAAGGTAGTAGATGTACATGGACGTAATGTAAAATACTTTGCTGATGTACCTGATGTCTTAAAACGATTATATGATGAAGGATATGAACTTGGTATAGCATCACGTACAACAGAAATAGAAGGTGCCAAACAATTACTAAATCTATTTGGCTGGGAGAAATATTTCAAGTACATTGAGATATTTCCTAGTAGTAAAAAAGAACATTTTTCCAAGTAAGTTTTAACCAGTCCTCTCACTGTTATGTAGTTCTTTCATTAAAGAATATAAACTAATTAGGTATATTATGTTTTCAGCATTCAAAAAAATTCTGAAATTGATTACAAAGATATGCTTTTTTTTGATGATGAACCTAGAAATATAGTGGAAGTTGCTGTTCTTGGAGTACATGCTGTGTTAGTCCCAGATGGTGTGAATCTTGATCTTATAGAAAAATCTTTAGAAGATTTTAGCAATCATTATTTCAGATACTAGATAATTGATTATTTGAAGTACTAGATCATTTTAATGATATGTTATACTTCATGAAATGTGTGTGCTGTAAACTTAATTCATATAATAAAAAATATTGTCATAATTATAGGATTGTTTTATATATATAATATTTATATTTAACATAAATTGTCATAGAATCATAATATTAGTTATAAGATCACAAATCAATTGAATAGGGTATGGAAATTTCTACTAATCAATCATTCTTTGATAAAACTGTACTGGACTGTTAATGGTAGAATTATCAGTATTATCTTTGCATACAAGTTTTAGAAATCTAGTGCAAAGCACATCTGGACTTTGAATAGCTACATTATGTAAGAATTTCTCTGTGTCATCTTCAGTTAATGAAGTGTGTAAAAGATTTCTAAGTGCATCCACATCAAAGTCTTTGAAAGGACAACCACCCTCGTAGGTTGCACCACTGATACCTGCCTGTAAAGATGGAAACGTTCAAATAATGAATAATTGAACAGTTTGGATAATAAAATTTGCTGTTTCGAAAGTTTTCGTGAAATCTTTATACTCACGCAAATGCGATCGCAATCAGGTGTCTTGTAATTCTTCCTGGATCCTTCCAAACCATACATATGCCTAATGCTGTACACGAACTTCTTCTCGTTGGGTTGCCAATTGTGTGAACATATCGCGGTACAGGTGTGTGGTTTGGAATATTCCTGTCTCCAAAACGCAATCGAGTCTTCTAGCTTCATACCGATCTCTTTTAGAAAGAGACTGTAGTACAGACGTGCATAATGACTAAGACGGTGTCTACTTTTCAACACGGAATGCAAGTGTCGCATACACAGAGGAAATCTTTCAGCTTCTGTGTCTATGTTCTCGATGGTTATGCTTCCGTAAACAGTACCTTCTCTGAAAAGGTAAGATTGAACTTTCTGACTTAAAAACTGCAACCTCAGATCATATTTCACAGTGTGCTGTGCGTATTTCTTCATAAGAGTCAGTTTATTGTTTAAATATGTGCTAAATAATGATTGAAGTACTCTTTTCCATGTTGAACAGTATGTTATAACATATCCGTTATTAAGGACTAATTCTCGTTCTTTTACTAGTTCTGGTGCTACCTCAAATTTCACTGAAATTTATAAATACAGTGCTATATAAAACTTTTAATCTAAAACAGTGTTATATAAAACCTTTTAATCCTTTAAAATCTTTTGTATATAAATTATAACATATATGTATGACACATATACATATGCCTACATACCTTTGTATACAAATTTATTGCAGTTTTGACAATTTGATACCAGATGTTTAAAGATTAAAGGTTGTGAGTAGAATTTGCACAATTCAATTAGAGTTGTTTCAATCAGACTTCCATGGCTTTTATATAACTGCATTCTCCATATAATTTGTTTAAATAATCTATGCAATTGTCTAGGTGATGTATTATCTAATCTATGTTTAAATAACAATGATTCTTTGGTAATCCAGTACATCCATAGATCTGACGACACACAAGCCAATAATCTTAAACAGAAAATTGTAATCAATCAAAAATAAAAACATGGGCTTTTACATGATAAAATTATATCACATATTATTCAAGAAAAAATTATTAATATACAATTACCTTAGCACAAAGTGTCCAATTTCATCATAATCAGAGTTTTCTATCAAGTACTCAAATTTGCCATCAAATTCATCAGTGGTCCCTTCATGTAAACATCTTAAATAATCTAGTCTGGTTAAAACACAATCTTCCAAAATATAAAGAGGTACCTCTCCATTAGGTGGCATAACATAAAACATTTTTATGTTAATTATTATGTAATCCTAAAAATCACATCTTATACTTGAGAATGTATTTCTAAAATATTCCAATCGTCTCCTGGAAATATTCCATATTTTATTTAAATGGAATATAATTTCGCAATATATTGATAAAAAATATATAAAACAGCATTCAATTTTTTAATAAATTTTACAATTTTCCAATTTGTTGAAATTTTTGCATCTCAACAAGTTTTCTCTTCTTTGTTTTATGCATATTCATTACACATAATGACATAATTATTCGATTTTGAATTTTAACATTATTCAATCTACTTGGATTCATTTATTATAATTTTTTCATATTTATTATTTTATTTTTTTTAATTTTTATATTTTTTTCTGAATATCTGTCTCGTGATATTACGTATGCTATCTCTTTTTTTTGATATCTACTGAAGTTTGCAGATATAGCTCGTAGTTTACGACGGAAATCATTTACTACATTAAAGGCTGTGTTCCGAAATTCACTGCAGATCACTGCATTGAAAATCTATAGTTTATGTCACGTATACTATAGAATTTCAGCACTGGCAGTGAATTTCGGAACGCAGCTAAAGAATAATGGTTCCTGCACACAGGACGCGGTAATGCTTGCTGCGCGGCGGAAGTTTGCGCGACAGCCAATCAATATGCTGCTTCTCGTAATAACCTTCTAGCTCTTACGGAAAAACAATATATTGATTGGCTGTCGCGAGGACTTCCACCGCGCGGCAAGCATTACCGCGTCCTGTGTGCAGGAGCCATAAGGGCCTGAGCACAGCTTTTGCATAACGCATAATACATACATATAAGGAAATCAATCAATCAGAGTCATTCATTTCTATCCTGGAGAGGGAAATAAAGGTCTCTGATTGGTTAATTCCCTTATGCGTTATGCGTTATGCAAAAGTCTGTGCTCAGGCCCTAAGGCTGATATTTCACGTGTCGTACGACAAGTTTCTGAGTAATGGCGTTGGGGCATGAGTCATGGATGCGCCTCTAGCCAAATATTGAAGGAAGGAAGGAAGGTACGACAAGTTTTTCGGATACGTTTATTAGTTGGCGAATATAGTATTTCTAGGTTCTCTGTTCGTCAACCAATGAATATATCCAAAAAGTTTGTCGTACGACACGTGAAATATCAGCCTAAGGCGAGTTTTTTAATTCATCGATGGATCCATCGCATGATGCGTAAATACAGTGAAACGTTGCATTTGCGCATCATGCGATGGATTCATCAATGAATTAAAAAACTCGATCATATTCCCAGCTAAACCCTAAGAAGCGAACTCTCCTATTGGTCGATGTTTGTCAACAAACTCAGGCGTTTCCGATCATAACAATTTTATCAATGTAATAACTGCGAGATACGATCCAGCAAATTTTTAATAATTTCCGTAAATTATATAGCCTAATTTGAGAGAAATTAACAATATATGTAAATGTTTAATCATTTGGTTATTGTCATCAGAATACAGCGCGCATGCGCACTGGGCGTATCGAAGTATTCGAGTTTCTTAATCACAGCAACATTCAATTGGTTGAATAACCGTTTTCGGCGCGACAATGGCGTTCGTAAGGATTCTGCGTGTTTCTCGTAATTTCGCTCAACGGAGGTAAGTTTCGTATACTCGAATCATTATCGGGAGTGCGAGAAATAAATTTCGTGCGTATGTCGCTATAAATTATCGGTTTAGACACCATGATGCAGGCACCAACCGGTAATAAAGGCATTGCGTCTTGGAGGTTGGGGTTCCCCAGTGAACCACCCATTACATCCTCGATCTCCGCGACAATCTTTGACGATAATCTCGTGCTCGAGATGTTAACGACAATACCATAAGTGAGTTATTCATAAACCCGTTATGGCAAGATATCGTCAAACATCGTGACATTATCCAACGGGAGTGTCAAAGGCTGCGTTCCGAAATTCATTATCAGTACTGAAATTCCATAGTATACGTAACATGAACTATAAATTTTCAGTACTAACAATGAATTTCGGAACGCAACCAAAGTGTCGTATGTACAAGTACAATATGGTGGTTTATAATGCCGGTTTTTGCGAGTTTTCGACTCTGCTTGGAGCCAGTGGTGGGAAATCGAGCCTGGATGCACTGGCATTTTTCTCTTTCTGCATACGTACACAGAGATGCTCCGTTTATCCGTGTGACGAGCTTGTCACACGGATGGACGGAGCATCTCTATGTGCGTATGTAGAAAGGGAACAATGTCAGTACATCCAGGCTCGATTTTTCAGTAATGCTTGGAGGCGAATGTCGCATGAGAATTATGCCGTGCTCAGAAATATCGCATATATTTGATAAGTTTGCCGGTAGAAAAGCGTATCAAAGTCTATGAGAGAATATCACCCGCCCAGCGCGACGAGATGACAATGAGTTTTGTGTGTATTACAGGTTAAACAAAGTGGTTCAACGGTCATCCAAAGTGAAACTCGAGATTTCTGAAAAGATTTTGCTGGCCAAACAAGTATCGCAAGTTTGCCGTGAGATGACAGAATAGGACATTCGCGATTCGGAGAACGGAAAGTCGGTAAATTGAGAAGTCGGGAAGTCGGTAAATTAAGAAGTCGGGAAGTCGGTAAATTGAGAAGTCGTTTAGTCGAAAAGTTGGTAAGCTAATCAAAACAGATGGCGACATTTGCGTTGAATGTTTTCTATGCTAAGAATTTATATTAGACGGACCGAGCGATTTCTTTACGATACATATAAAAAGTGGATCGTTACTGATAATCATATGTTGAGTTTAGTCCGTTTTTCCTCGAACTATTTTAACTTTATTATTCATTCCACGCGCGACAAGAAGAGAAAAAAGATTCTTGTGGTTAAATTTTTTTTTTGCGGCATGGATTTTTGCTTGTCAACTTGTGTATTCCTCGCGGATGCGTGATCCGACGTGAATATAGTTTACACTGCTTATTATGACTATACAATATTCCCTTGTTATTGAAATTTAAATTGCATATATTTGGTGAGTTTGTCACTTCTGCATCAGTGTATGTTTATTATAATTCATTGCGCGATAAAGCATGAGTCTATATTAATCCTTCATGGCACACTGCATCTATTTTGTCCGCGACAAAATTTTTTTAACTGTTCTAAGCTTTAAAAAAATCTGAAAAAATTGTGGGATACTTTTTGAAATATCCCACATGTTTTTATTTTTATGTATAATCACTACTTGAGTCTAATGTTTACAGGTTTAATTAGGAAAATCCAGCTTTCCCTTCAGAAATATTCAAGAGTGAAAATTTACTGTGGATAAAATGGATCCAGTGTGCCCATGGAGGGTTAATATGGATTGGACTATGATTCGTTACTTTGACTGTAAGTTTGATCCTTATCACAAATATTTAATTATGATATATACTTGGTGACCGTCGAGTTTTTGCATCTGTCTATGATGATCTTTTGTAATTCAAATCTCTACAATGAATAACGTCGATGCATATTAATATGCATAGATGATATTTTTTTTGTTTCCATTCACAGTGTTGATATTTCGATTGATTTCGGACATTGACATATTGCTTTTGCATTCTATTTTACTAAAGAATTTTAAACCTAGAAAGGACTCTGTTTTGATCTAATGTGTGAGAATTTCAACTTTCTAGCGAGTTCTACGCGAAATTTGTGCGACTCTAAAAACAGATATTGTTTGTGTCAAGCCGTGCGCTCTGAACTGTTCTTCGCTAGGTGTACACAGTTGATATTCGCTTGTATTTCTGCTCGCTTACACTTATCGGAAGTCGTGCAGGTGTGACGTATTGTCGCTCGGGCCACAGGATCCGTCTCCTCACTTAGCGTACGAGCAATGCATTGGATTTCGTCGAATGAAAACGTTGCTTTGCTATGCATGTCTCTTAGTCCAGATCTATTATTTATTTCTGTTTTTTTTTCTTTATTTCTTCCTGATTTAAACCTTAAGCCTTTAGCCAGAAAGAGAATCTAAGAAACAGGAAGCAAAAGATACATTGTAGATCAGACTTTATCTCTCTTAAGTTGTGCAATTTATTATGATTTGGAAATACGTCGTGGAAATATCTATAAATATTTATGATGTGGTATCATGCTTCTTTAATGGATAGTGACAATGGATAATAGAACTTACACACACAAGTGTTGCATGTTGTTTTTCTTTTAATGAGATACACGTGTAAGTTATTTAAATGATATGTTCGGGTCTACGGCAAAATTCACGTTTTCCCGGTGGAATTCGTTCACAATGTGTACGCGCAGCGTTCGAGCTGAGCGAAATGTGCGGCAAAGTCGAAATTGATAAATTTGCTTGGGAATCAACGATCATGGGGCGTTGTTCGATCGTTCTCGATTGCGTTAGTAGTAGTGTATTGCGCGTCATTTTCTCTCTCTCTCTCTCTCTCTCTCTCTCTCTCTCTTTCTTTCGACGTTTCCCTATTTAAAGCAAGAATAGAGTCAAAGAACAGCACACAACGTTGCACGTTCGCGCGTTTGTCGTCAGGGATACACTTTAATTGCTATAAAGTGCCGTACATGACTAGTTAGTCTAGGTGGTAAATATTATGTGCCATGCATATATGTATATATGTGTATATATATATATATATACACATACACAACACACTACTCATACACACACACACACATGTACATATACGCATCACACACACACGGCTACTGAGTAACATGTATACTTTTTTTTTATGATTTGTCCCTTAATTGTCGTCTTTATAATACAAATATTCCCTAAATCGTTGTACATTGTTACGTTACCGATATCCGCGCTTATGCGAAATTTACTTACATCTCTTGCTGCCTTATATGACTAGTTAAAATATAGATATATTATAAATACTTGTATTTTCATATATATATATTTGTTTCATATATATATATATATATACTTCTTTTCTTCCCGTTTTTTTATATTTATATATATATAGTCTACTTATAAATCGAGTTTGTTTAAGCTTTATTACTCATAGACAATCTGCTTGATATATATTTACAGAGATTAGATACAAAATTATAAACAGTTCTTAGTACAAAATAATTTTATGACTATAACGATCAAGGTTCGATAGCGTTAGAACAGGCATGGGCAACTCACCGTGACCGGTGGTCTCGGTTTCGCCGGTTTCGAATTTCTCCCTCGTCTCTCGCGTGGAGTTCAAGAATGATCGTTCGCGATCCTCGGGAAATGATCTCTCGATTCTCTTCGCGAGAGAGTGAGAAAGAGAGGGAGGAAGAGGGAACATTCGAAATCCTCTAACGTGGCCGTGCGTTGCCCTTACCTGGATATAGAAGATACAACTAGATGAGCTCTCCCCAGTTTTCCCGCAATTACCTGTAGACTCCCCCGCAATTCCACCGATAGAGGTTAACAATCAGGTATTATAGCGAAAACATGCTTCATCGTGTGCTCGCGCGAAACAAATTTACTCGTAGTACACGTATACGCGTGACGTGATTGTAGTACAACATTGTAATCGATTTCATTGCCGCGATCTTCGGGCTTCCCATCACGGCGCCGCTTTTTTTCTCTAGAATCAGAGACCTACTCTGGTCCAAGACCAACTCTGGTTTTTTCGACCAGAGTATTACACGATGTAGTTCTAGCTTCGTCGTGTCGACTTCACGCGATAAATGATTGATTAAAGAAACAAACGACGACCGTATACAGTGCGCGCGACTTTAACCGCGAGAAAAGATACACCGCAATTGACCAGCATTATCCACCGAGTTTATCAATGTTTGCCTCTGCTTTGAGAAAGCGTGATTCGCTGCATGACCCTGCGTGACCCTGTAGATGATGATCTATGTGTTCGCGTTCGTCTGTCGTACGTGAAGAGACGTACACGGAAAGAATATTGCAGTAAAAGTGCAGTTAAAATTACATCTCTTTTCGCGTTTTTTGTAGAGCTGGATTATACTAAAATTATATGAAATAGTAAAGAATGAGGCCTGAAAAGTGTCTCAGATTCATGATCAAAAAATTTTGAAACCATTTTGGACTTAAAATAGTTTATGGTGCGTAGATTACAAATATGCAGGTATCAAAGTGTGATCGAAGGATTATTCTCCAGAGATTATGGTCTCACTGAACATTACACTTTCACAAGGTATCAGTACTCTCCGCGTTGAACTACAGCCGCGGTTTTTGTGCTTATTACATAACAATCACATTTCGATCAGACTTGTCACTTGTGACAGTACGGTCAATCAGTATTTGGTTATACATTTTTTCACAGTATCGAGAGACCTCAGATTCTAAACCTTAGATCTAAGGCAGTCTTTGCGCAAGTGTGCGTCTTGAAATTAACATCTCGTGGAAGTAGAATGTTCAATGGGCTATATCTCTCAGGTCTGAACATCAGGTCCGATTACTTTGGCACTTGCATATTTATATCCTACGCACTTTTATAAACTTTATTTTAAAGCTAAAATAGCTTCAAAACCAATTTTAACCGTGAATCAGAGCCTAGTAGCCTATGAGCATTTGGCTGCACTCTCTGACCATCTATTCCTGGTATATAATATAAAAGAAAAGAACATATTCAAGTGTAATTGCAATAATGTTATAGCAGAAAATCAAACGTACATAATATTTTGAAACAAATATACAGTAATTTCGGTCATAATTCTGTATAAGGAGTTAAAAAAATATAATATAGATCTTAAACAAATTTTTTTTGTAATTTTTACTACAATATTCTCTCCGTGTATAAATATCTTTCTTCGCGCGCGCGTTAAGAAAATTATCGTACGCGTTAGAAATCAATTCCTTTCAGATTGAGTAGTCTCGCGTCTCACTAAACAAACTATTCGCGAAATGCTAACACCATTGCCCGTGAGTCGTGTTTCAAGGAAATCGCGATCGGCGCCAAGTATATCCCCTAAATTCCGAGGCAAGCGTGATTGTCGATCATAAGTGTGTTTAAAAATATACATACCGAAGGAATCAGCAGCGTGTGTATGTGTGTGCGCGTACGTATATGTAAGTGTAAGTGTGCGTGTGTGGTCGTGTCGCGATGAAGGTTTTCGAGACGTCGTTGCGATTAAGGTTGAGGAGCCTGTCGACCACGTGACGCCTTGAAAGGAACGAAATCTCGCACCGACTCAGCGTGTAGTACACTCGTGTATATTCCGGAACGCACGAGCCAAATGTATCCGGCTGTCGCTTCCCTCTCGGAGATGTCGTGATTCTGAACGGCTTATTACCCCGGTGACGCCATTGTGGCAGAGCTCGAATTGTCCGCAAAGAATACAATTAACCACCACTGGAAAAAGGGCACACTAGGTAGAAGTAAGCTATCTAGATTATAGTGGCGAGTCTTCGCGTAGAGAAAGGATTACGCGTGCGAGATCTTGATCACGCCGCGACTCACAACACCGTGCGCTTTCTGCAGCGACCTTCGCGAAATTACGGAGCAGCCAATGCTCTGAATTTGCGCGCTCGACGAAGTTGTTAGGTCCCACGACTGACGAGATCCTCGGGTTCTCGATCGATCCTCGCAATTAGTCCGCATTCGACATTTTTATCGAGAGGAGCGATCGAGTCGTGATCCCCGGTCGAGTGGCAAATTCGCGACAAAGGGCGAAGGGAGTGAAGAAGTACAGAGATAATCCTTTCGCTACGAAGAACTCCGAATTGGTAGGTACAGGTAGTACGTAGAGATATACTAAATTATCACATGAGTAGACAAGTGAGTTACTCGTTAGCAGTAAGGGGCAACAATATAGCCAAAGGCAGCGTTATGCTTATGTTGGCGAATCTAAACGCAACTACAATTCGTTCTCTATTATCGTCTTCTAGGTAGTAGGTAATGGCAGTCTGCTTTGGACTAAAAACGCCTACCGCGGCTGCGGTAGTTCGGTTATCATTATTATTATTGTTTTCAACTCAGTCACAACCGGTGGTGAATTTAATTAATCGATCGATTCCTCGCGATGGCACAAAATTATACGTATATGTCGCGTTTCGGTATATTCTCGCTTGCGCTCTCTCTCTCTCTTTCTCTCTCTCTCTCTCTCTCTCTCTCTCTCTCTCTCTCTCGCTTCCTCGCTCGCTCGCTCTTAGGTAAACAACGTTCGATTTGCGTCGATCGATCGGCACTATTACTATTTTCATTCCGTTTTCTCTGTCTCTTTCTAGCAAAACCAAAAAAATCAGTATTGCTTACACTGCAAATCCATGTGTTATTTTTAAGTGTATTACTTGACCAAAGCTTTTTTTATACGTTTCTTGCAGTTTTAAGTTACATCGTTTAACATGTTTAAGACGACTAAATTATGACTTAATACATTTAAACGTGTCAAATGACGTGATTTAAAAATGCGTAAGAAACGTATAAAAAGATAAAAAGATATTCGACTAAAATATCACACTTGGATTTGCAGTGTGTGTCTCTGTTGCCTCAAAACTAGCGCGCATAAGCGCGCGTGGCTTCGCACTGAATTTCGTGTGTGCGAAACTTTCGTTGCCTTTTCTCCAAATATTCTCTATTGTGTTTCGTCTTGTTCGCTTGCTCGTCTTGGACGCGCGGTCCCTCGTTGGAGAGGAGAAGCATGTAGAAGCAATTCCAGTTACGTTTAAATTCAACGCGAGTACCTCAACTATACGCATGGCTATGCCTCCGTGTCGTCTCTACTCCTTAATACGCGATATTACGTTCAATTTATATATAAATAGTATTTTAATAGTATAACGGTAACATCGCCTATCCGCTAAGTGTCGCATAAGTTTATTTAGTAATAGTATATCCATCTGGTGTATATAAATACGCGGAGCCTATTTAAAGATGTCGGCTCGAAATTACACCGGAATACGATTGGAGACGGGGCGATGTTGTGACGCGCGAACGCCGGACGAATTTGCGCGCGTCGTTGTCGTCGTCACCGACGCGTTCAGAGGATGTGATCGTACTCTCCCGTTTTCGGCTTTCATTCTTTTTTTTTCTTTTCCACGGTTTCCACGGTCTCGTTGAAATTTTAGGGAGGAACGTTCCGATATGTCGAATTCTCGTCGCGCTCGTCCGTCTCCTCACGCCACGAACATCTCGTCGATTCGGAAGCTAAACAATTGCCGTACGTTTTTTTCTTCTCTTCCCTTTTTCTCATGCCGTCCGTACGCTAATAACCGAATGTACGCGCGAGAGCGTGTGAAACGCGCTTTTTCACGCGGACAAATTCGATTCGCTTGCCGATTCCGCCCCAATCTCGTGCGTTCTCTCTCTCTCTCTCTCTCTCTCTCTCTCTCTCTCTCTCTCTCTCTCTTTCATACACACTCTCACTCTCCCTCGCATGGATAACACTCCTTATCACACACACGCACACACACGCACACACACACACACACAAATGGAAATGCGCCTATGTATATGTACAATATTCTAATTTCTTATTTTCATTGATCCCGCCTAACGTTATAAAGTTACAATTATGATGTGTCATAGTCATGATACGTATAGCCTATTACCGATCTCCCGATATTGAGAACAGCACCGCAAATCCAAGCGTGGTGTTTCTACGCATAAACGTATAATTTGGTTGAATCTATTTTTATACATATCCCTTACAGTCTCAAGTTATGTCACTTAACACGTTTTACAATTTAATATGTTTAAACGCTTTAAATGACGTGACTTTGAAGCGGTATGAAACGTATAGAAAAAAATTCAGCCGAAATAACACATCTGGACCGGCAGTGTGAAGTTGAACGCGTCGTGAAGTTGAACTTCATGTTCTTTATAACCCCACTTCGCGCGCTTAACTTACGACTTACTCGTTCTAGAGTTTACACAACATCAACGTAGTTTCATCCACGTACAAACTGTGCTTCCCTTCTTAACTGTTGATTGAAATAGCGACACGTTTCGAAGAAAACATTTACTATCGAGAAATCTTTATGCAGTCACTCGACTGTCTTACCTCCCCACGCCGCCGGTAAGAGCTCCACCACCACTAACCATTGCGTACCCTCCGACAGTGTGCGCTCACGTCGACTTATGGTTTATGTTACACTTGCGCTGTATTATTGTACGCGCCATTGTACATATACATATACATGCATATATATATATATATATATATATATATATATATATATATATATGCGAAAATTCGAATACACGCAGACGAAAAATAGCGTCTCGCGAAAAAGCGCGAGACGGTTCTCGATTCACTCGATCGCTCTACATCGGCGACAACGCCGCGCTTCGTCGTCTCGCGCGATATGTTGTGCGTCTCATGACGATAAAGAATTTCGCGATGTAAATTATATACACTCACTCACTTACTCACTGACACACGCGCGCACGTACACACAGACCAAGTAGATTTGTCTCACAATTAGAGATCCAGAGTACCTGGGACGATAATTACGATATACACGTTCAAAGATAGCAAAAGAGAGCGATAGGGAAGAATATGAGAAGGGGGCGTGGAGAGGAGAGGGAGGAGGGATGGTCAAGGCAGGGTACAGATACCCACGCGTTCACGAGTACACTCATATTTATAACGCTGCTTTTTTTCACGATGATTAACTCCGAACAGTCGTCGTAGTTTTAAGTCTAATGTCGGTATAATCGCACTATATTGCCGTCGATGTTGCTTTGCGCAATTCTCTCTCTCTCTCTCTCTCTCCCCCCTCTTTCTCCATGTAACCCCTCTTAATCGAAACAATATATAGTTCCCGTCGGAGGGGAACTTGCTAATTATCCTCCTTAAGTAAACGATCCCTCTCCTGTCCTTTGCGGCTATCACGTGGGCTCTGTGTGTCTCTCTCTCTCCTCCCCCTCTCTATTAATAATTGCCGCGCGATCAAACAGGATCCCGGGACCCATCCGTCCACGCAGGAATGTTCGCAGCTGTGTATTATCATTATTATATTTTAATTACACGCGTATTGCTCTTAGAGGTTGTCGGCGAGATCGCGGGACAGAGAGAGAGAGAAACCCTTCTCCGCGCGATCTCGCAAACGCCGTCGTCCTCTGCTGCCTCCGTCGTTGTCGTCGTTGTCTTCCTTCGATAATCGCGTACGTGCGATTCCCTGTGGATTATAGCGCGGCTACTGTCATCTACGAGAGGCATACTTATTCTTTTTATTGTGCTCTCATCCGATTGTCGTGTTTGCAGATTCACGGTCTGTCTTCGTTTCATTATCTCTCTTTCTCATTCTCTCTTGTTCTCATCGCCCGTTCGAGGGAGAAAGCTTAACGTTGCTTTTTCTCTCCCCGAGATTCGTACTCCACGCGGCGATCACGAGACTCCCGGAGAAGACGAAATGGCATGCGAGTACAACTCGCGTTGCTGCTGCTATTGCTACTGTCAGAATGTCTGACGCAGACCAGTTGTCGTGTTTTCGCGATGCGCGTGGCAGCTCGAAGTATAAAGCTTGATCTACAATGTGTTCTTTGCTTCCTGTTTCTTTCTCTTTATTTCTTTGTGACTCAAACTTTAAGCCTCAAACTAGAAAAAAACAAAGAACAAAAAACAAAGAGCGTATTATAGATTAAGTTTTAAGAATAATTCACACCTTGGCAGAAGAGCAGAAAACAGAAAGACAGAAGTTAATCGCGCTGACCACCAGGTGATAGTCGATAGTTTCTGCTTTTCTACCAGCGCCAGTCCTGATTGGCTTTTGCCTTTCTGTCAAGGTGTGAATTCTCCCTAACAATATAAATTCCGAGAGAGGCGTCGGCGAAAGTCTTCGTTTGAAGGAACGAGAGACTCCTTACGCTTCCTTACTCTTCTATCTATCCTAAAGGTTACTTCCTGCCTGCTACGGTATACTCGTTGTCCGAAGGTCGAGACGAGGTCGCGGCTCGACGGATTCCGGGTCGCACGGCGGTAGTCCAGGTTCCCCGGGTCCCGCCGTCTCGTTGACGGAGACGGTAACGATCATCGCCGTTGTCGTTGTACTTGTCATTTCGATGTCGCGTGAGTGATTCTACAACAATTCGTCATTCCCGTGGCGCGCACCGCGCGCAGTCTCTTCCTCTTACGGAGGCTTGCTCTGTCGTTCATGCCGCCCCATTTCTTCGCACCTGCGTTCCTCCGTCTGTCCTCACTCGACGGCCACTCGATTCCTGCGATTTCTCGAGCGAGTCCGCAGCCTGTCGTCGCACGCTCGCCGACCCGTTTCCAGGCCGCTCGTCGGCCCGTTCTGAAATCCCGCGGGATGACCGTTGAGAAAGTCGCCGTGATCGCCGGAGTTGTTGCACGGGGCTCAATATCAGGATGTTGGCGCGTAACCCAGGTTTTTCCGCTGCAGGAAGAGCGATATCTCACGGAAGGTCGGCCTCTCGTTCTCCTCTCGTCGCCAGCACTCGAGCATCAGATCGTAGATGTCCTTGGAGGAGGCGGTGGGTCGCGGCAAGTAGTCAAAGCCGTTGCCCACGCTACCACCGCCACCGCTACCACCGCCACCGCCGCCGCCACCACCACCACTACCACCGGAATCTTCTTTGCAGCCGTCCTCTGGATTGACGTTGCTGCTGCCGTTGCTTGCGCAGTCGGCGGCATGGTGCAATTGCCGTAAGCTTTGCACCACTTCCTCGTCCGTTAGGTGCTCGTACGGTACACGTCTGCCGAGGTTTAGGATCTCCCACAGAGTCACCGCGAATGCCCATACGTCGCTCTTCGTTGTGTATTTCCCCTGGAAACCGAGCACAATGGTGGATTTTAGTATTCTTTGACAATCTTAGAATTTCTTTTTCGAGCAGGTCTAACTATTCGTAAAGCTTGATATTTCGTGGTTTTTATTTCTTCTTAGAGGTTTTCAAAGAAAGGACGAGAGAAAAAATTTATTTATTTCCTTCTATTCAATGTAATAAAATTCTATCTTACCAGGTGTCAATTTCCAAATGTGATAAAAATAGGTTGATGTCTCATAACTTTCATATTTTCTTAGAGATTTTTAAAGTGAGAACAAAGGAAGAAATTTGTAACATTGTGACATAACTCACGCATACTTTATGCAATGTTTCAGAATGTTTTAAAGAATTTCGTGGTTAGATAAAAATAATGAGTCAGGTTTGAAACCAACAACGTGTATATTCACGTTGGGAAACACAAAGGATTAAATCGTCACGTCGTTGTCCCGATACGTCATATGGAAAAATGTTCAGAAGCTGCTGAAGCTTACCAGAAATATTGACTCCCATGCCATCCATCGTACTGGCAACGGCATGGCACCATCGACCTTGTAGTAATCGCAGGAGTACAATTCGTTGTCCGTGCCGAAGTCGGAGATCTTGATGTGGTACGCCTTGCCGACCAGACAATTCCTGTGCATAAAACAATCGTGTTACAGAGAGAACACGAGACTGTTATTAATTTTGCTTCGTTCATATGTAATATCTTACTAACGTGAAAAATTTAATATTTTATTATCAACGTAATATTTATCACAGTGTCTGGTTAAATTAATTAATTTCATTATCTTTATTCATTATTAATTCCGCGCGAAATCGCAACCTTCACGTTCGCGCTCGATCCTTCGACATTCGACAGTCTTTCCGACGAGTCGTTAATTAATTCACTTGCGTTATTAAGGCCTGTATTGATAATCGTTACTTGAAACTTGTTTCAAGTGAGATTATCGGATTTGAATTTCCAGCGAGATGTGAGATGTTTTTTAGTTGAATCGCGAGTACAAATACAACGTCGCGTATCATAAGATTCAACTGTGAAACTCAAGTCTGAATTTAAATCCGTTTATCTTGCATGAAACAACTTTCGAGTGGCGACTAGTATGGGCTTAAGAGATCTAATAAAAAATATGCCCGTGTCGATTAATTCTTTTTTGTGTTTCTCAACTTGACGTGAAGTGTAATGAAATGGATAACAAAATCACATAATTTTTGTGACTCGTTTCATCTTTGCAGAAAATCCTAAGTAAAGTGTGAACGGATACATTCGTATTAAAAACTTTATTTTTGTATCTGGAACTAAAATATTTAGTACGATTTAGTTAGCATTACCGTGTTTTTTCATCTATACTAAGTAGAGAAGATCGAAAACTGTAACTTCTAGCCCCGGTCTCTCTTGCACGTCATCATTGAAAAAGCCAAACACACGTGGCGGCAATAAATCTTTTGATAACAGTTGAAAAACATTTGTTTGGTGCCATTTTAACCAAACTTTGGTTCGACGTGCCAAATTTTCGTTCCGACAACAGAATCCTTTTTCAAGTACGCCTCTGATAGGTCAATCCGCTAATTGCACGCGAGCATGACACTCGATTTTGAAGACAGCCGGGGTATTTCTGCGGCGAATCGCTAGACGCGCGCCACCGGCTGGAATCGAGTACTTTTCCGGGCGATTCGTTTGAAAGAGAGGCGCGAGTATAGTACGGATCGATCTTCGCGTAGGTACGCGTGGAGTGCATAGCGCGCCCGCCAATCTGCATACGCGCACGCATTCTGTGCATGGCAGTCAACCGGAAGCGAGAATGGTTGTCTACATGCAACATTTGCTCGCGAATGTGGTCGGGCCACGTTTCCTGCACACCCGAGTGCACCGGGGATGCGCGCTGCAATTGTATCGGACGCGTGAATAAACCTCGCAATGGCAGTCCCCCGTGCGAGCAGTCGGCGGATATCGTCCGCGCTCTACGATCGTCGTAAATCGTTTCGTTTTCAAGAGAAGGAGGGAGGAATGGCGAGACAGTCCCTCTTCGGGAAGAGCGTCTCTTCCCCTGTTTCTCTCTTTCTCTCTCTCTCTCTCTTGTTGGCGCGAGGCAGTCGCGAAGACGGAGCAGCGTATTTTCAGGCACGACACCGTACGGAGAGTGTTCGAATAAATTTTTTGCATTTGCACATGCGGCGACGTTCCACGTTGAATACGACACGACACGAGAATTGAAACGATAACTCATCCCGACAAAAATCCCCACCGAGCGTCGTTTGCTCGAGTCGTGACTCGAAAAGGGAGGAAGTTCCGGCAAATCGTCGACCGCACGGATGTAATTAGATAATAAAACCTCGCGTTCTCTCCCGTCGAGTTGAGTTGACTAAACTTTAATGGGATCATGATTGGCGACACGCTCGGCGGGAGATGCTCTGTGTATTTACAAGCTTCGGGGTTAATAGAAAAAGTGTGAGAGAGAGAAAAAAAAAGAGAGAAAGAGAGAGGGGGAAGGGAGAGAGGAGAGAGAACACGCGTTATTAAGAATTGTTTCCATTTCCAGCGAGACGCGCACATGTCGCCGCGGCTGCACCTGTTATATCGATTACTCTCTGTGTTGTGACGCTTTAAAAAATTCAGCGACAGCACGTGTAAATAACGAGACGACAACGCCGGCCGGAGCATGGCGTATCGGGGGCTATGAATATGCGGAGTCGTGATATTCCATTCATCTAAACATGATACTGCGGACGCGCGCGCAAGGGAGATACGGTTGTTATTTAATCTTATCACGAGTGCGTTTGATATTTCATCTACTGCTCGTCCTCCTTTGAGTGGGCCCCACGGTAGCAGTAGATACGTTCTCGGCCGCATTCCCCGGAGGAGAACTTAGAGGCCGGGGATAAGCATTCATGCAACTCCGTTCAAAGCCGCCTTCAGACATTGACCAGTTCGCTTTAAAGACGAACTAATCTTCGCTATTTGAGGGAGAGGGAGCGAGCGAGAGAAAGGGTGAGGGTGAGGATGAGTGAGAGAGAGAGAGAGAGAGAGAGAGGAGAGACACGGCTCGCCGGGCAAACGTTATCCGAGAAGCGCGCACCGGGGCTATGGAATAGATAGAATCAATTAATTTCACCGGCGGAACAAAGCTCCAATTTGGCGGCAGAACCTGGTTAATTAGGGGCGCTTTATCGATCATTGCTATTGGCTACTTCGCCATCGGGCTACCACCGCGTCGATAGGGTTGACCCCGGTCCTACCCCGATGTTGCCAGAGTACGACGGTAATGCAATAAGCCGCGTTCACGCCTCACATTGAAGCTGTTGCAATATAAATCAGACGTGATCATCTCCGGCCAATAATCGCCGCTCGTTGATCTGAAAAATGATAACTCGGCGAACACGAGAGTTAAGTCGCTGTCGAAGAATTCGCGATAGTTTTCGCTACGTCCTCCATGTTAATATTGGACGATAAAGAACGTGTGATATCTGTGTGATAGATTTAAATGGAATCTCTCCCTCTCTCTTTTTCTCTTTGTGATAATTTTTAAACCAATATTTTTGCGCGACACTGAGAGGTTTCAAAGACATAATAGATTTAACGAACTCGGCGATCTGAAGATTTGCATACTATTTAAGTAAGCATTAACACACTAAGAAAACGTCCAATTTAAATAATTCCCGCAAATTCTCCCGTTGATATATCGCGAATGCGTTAAAATTAGATAGCGCGCGTAGTCTGCGCTAAAATTCCCCACGATATATTCGTCGACGTGGCTTAATCGCGATCGCCGTGAGGCGTCTTGATTTATTAATTTAATACACGATAATACATCACGTGATTTATCTCTCATCCGTGAACCGCGCCATGCGTTTATTAGCTGCGCTACGGATATAAAATTACCATCAAGAGACGCGAGAGGAAGTTGCTAGAGGGATGAGATTGCGAGAGAGAAGGAGACGGCTCGAAGTCAAAGTATAAGTTGAAGAATGACGAAAGGCAGTTCTCTTCGCGTCTGTAATCGAGATCGGAACAAAGACGAGTTTTCTCTCTCTCTCTTTCTCTTCTCCGAGAAAGTGGAAAGTGCGTCTATATCTAACCCGCGTCGACTTCTTCGCTGAATAAGTAGAATCGCTCTTTCCCGTCAATGTACAAGTCGCGGAGGTTGAAGTTAAACTCTGGAATCGCTCGGCCATTTGACGCGCGCTCTATTGTCGATAGGAAACGAGAACGTTAAGTGTACTCGGCTGATTGGCGCGGCTGTATAATTGAAGCAGCCGAGGTTCCGGCGTATCGATGTCGAAGTGAAGCGGGAGGACGTTCGGCCAAGTTAAATTGAAAGCTGAATATTGGATATGCCCGTTGCAAAAGAAACAAGCGACCCACCGGCCGCTCAGGTGGCAGGTAGGCAGGGAAGAGCAGCGGAGAGGACGGCGAGGAGAAGAGAGCGCACGGGGAAAGGCCGCTCTTTGAATTTTTAATCGGTTTCCCGAACACGTAGGCTCTTGTCAGCGAAGAATAAAGCTCTTTCTCTCTCTTTCTCTCTCTCTTCCGGGTCTTTGGTATCCTCGGAGGATAAAGGAAATCGCGACCTCTTCTACCTTCCTACCTATCTCTCTGTCTCTTGCTCTATCGCTCTAAAATCGATGTTAGGGTCAACAGTCGAATGGCTGTTACAAGTTGAGTGCATGAGGCGGAACGTTTCGGCGTCGAAGTTCGCGAAATGATATTCGCCGCCAAGAAAGGCATAGAGGAGTTTTGCCGAAGGAGTCGAAGCACTTTTTGATCTTGCGGCGAAGTTTCGAATGAAAATTTCTGTTGACGAGAGAAAGAAGGGAGAGGGAGAGAGCGCGATGTCGCTTATGTCGAACTTACAATTTTTATCTTGACGAGTGAAAAGACTGAGGCCCATATTAATAACCGTTACTTGAGACTTGTCTCACATAAGATATTCAGATTTTAATTTGGAATTAGGTTTGAGTTTTCTATTTGAAAGATATAATATGCGGTACTTGTGATCGCGGTATTTGTGATCGCGAGTCAGCTGAAAAATTCACAGCTAATTCTAAGTTAAAGTTTAGTTGCTTCACCTGAAGCAAATTTCAAGTAACACGCGATATCCTGTTAATACTTCTTTTAATAAATTAAGAAATTAATTATTAATTCTTTAATTAACTATGAATTTAAATCTGGGGACCATATTAACAGTTATCACTTGAAACTTGGCATATATGAGCTCAGATTCAAAGTTAGATCCAAAATTTTCAGTTCAATTATACCTGTAATCGCAATTCAACTGAAAAATCTTTCATTTAATTCTGAACTGAATATCTCTTGAGAGAGATTTCAAGTAAGGACTATTAGTCTGAGTATTATTTGATACCCTCTTATTAATAATCCTCAATAAAATTTTTCATAAAATGAATACACGAGTCGACGTTGCATGTCGCGAGACGACACATAATATTCCCGATTTAAGAGTCGATGATAAAAATAATAATGAAAATATGAGAGATCCAACGTTAAGTACTCGTGCACGCGTCAGTGAGAACAGAGAAAAGTGAGGGAGAAAGGGGGAAGAAGAGACGAAGGAAAACAGGACCGCTACATTTGCGATGCACAACAGGATGAAGGGAAATCTCTCTTAGCGGAATGTGAA